TGTTAATTAAGATGGGTGACCTTTATTCAATAAGCAACAGATATAAACAGGGCCAGCATGGCTGCCTCCTCCTTGACAGCGCTGTTAAGATAAAGGCCTCACCATGGGGGAGAGCAGACCTGTAATTACACACACACGGGACTCCCGTTGCTATGTAAACATCCCAACCACTCTGCCTAGCAGCGCACTGCCTCTGTGCTGCGCTGCTCCGGCTCCTCGCATGAATCACAGGGCAACATCTGGTTTAGCATGCTGGAAGGGACTTTGTCGGTTTGGCACGCTGTACGTGTGTGGAGTGTGTCAATTTGGACCAGACGACCCACGCCTGCGCCTGCCTCTCTCCTCCCCCTGGCTACCCCACCTCTCAGATTACAGCGGTTGCACAATGCATTTTGGCAGTCCCCCTCTTGCTGGCCCTATAAGAACTGTGGATATAAAGACGAACCTTTTGCTCAACTGTGTGGGGAAAGAACATTAAGACCGCTCTTGGCATCACAGTGACTGTTGTCTGCCAAGAGTATACAAAAATGCGAACAGAGAGAAAGTTGTTTACTTAACTGTAAAAAGTTGAACATATACTCTGTGAATATAAGCACAAGTCAATTCCCTTTTCCAGTCATTGTTCTATTTAACAACCCCAGTTTTAAGACTGTGTGCTTCCACAATGAGCAGCTGAGGACAGATTTGCACTAATAGCACCATCATTCATCACACCGCCCCTCAAGTAATATCAGGAAAGGCTATAGGAGGAGGAGAAAGTACTTTTGCCGTCAATGATGCTGGTGTGTTTTTCAGTGAGTCACCAGCCCGGCGTTGTGCCTCCGGTGTGACCAGCATCCTGCCGGCACTGTTTCTGGCAAGTGCCTCAAATTAATATCTGGCATGGCTGCTACAAGACTCTATTTCACAGCGAAACCCAAACTCTGCCCAAATGTCCACAATATATCCTTCACAAAATAACCGCTCTGGCAGGCTGAGGAAAGGCAACCACAAAATGGTAGTAAGGATATGGAAGAAAAAAGCTATAAACAGCAAAAAAAAAGAAAAAAAAATCGAGTGAAGCAGCAGAACAGAGCCTTGAAATATGGACGTCAAGGTGCTTTCGGTCTGACTTTTAAGAGTTATGGGAGGCCCAGATCCTGGATAGCATTACGCTGAGAGAAGACTCATTGCAGACTAATCTAAACATTACGTAAGAGCTCTCCTGACAAGTTTAGAGGGCAGATGTGACTGTTTACACAGATGCTGCGAGATGATAGAAATAGTCAGAAAAAAAGAGAGAGGTGAAAGATAGGCTGAAGTGGTGGTGTGAAAAAAAGATGACAAATTTAATAAGCTAAGTGCAAAAAACTGAAGCTAATTTGGCCAAATGGAGGTGGAAGAATGTCTTTTATTCTTAAAAAATATATCAATTAGACTGCCTATTACCTGCTCAAGAATCAACTGTTTGAGTAAGTTAGAAGCATCTTGAGATTTGTCCACAAATCACTTAGCACACTCGCTGCCAGTGCACTTAGGGGAAAGGGCATTTGGTTGTCTAACTGTAAATATCTGTCCCTTGTGACACAGTACAACAATGCGCTGTGCCGTATGAGGAAGAATTTAGAGGAAAACTTATACGTGCCTTCATTGTGTTAGAGATCCTGGCATTGTGGGAGAAATTATGTTTGCTCTACCCACAGCACACACTGAATACACTGCTATTGTTTGAGTAAAAGTCAGCTCTCTGGAGTGCAGTTTAAACCTCCAGGGAATAGAGAAGAACTTTTGAAATAATAACCTATGGCGGCAGACTGAAGGCATGAAAAATGCGTACACTTTTTTTTTGGACCGCTGGATATGTAGCATGCCTCCTACCGGGTAATTATTCTTGAGCTACCACAGAAAAACAACACGAGATGCTGCAGATTAGAGCTGAAGTGAGTTCAAGTCCGACGTCGTATATTGTGAAACCCGTCTCAGTAAACAGGACATCTCGCAATCTGAAAAATGGAAAAGAGGAATCTGGCTACACTAAATTCTCGGTGTGGTTTGTGCCAGATCAGTGCCAACTTTTTCATCACACTCTGGGTCTGTCAGGCTTATGTAAGGAAACTGAATATTTTGGTCAAGTTAACAAGCGATGAAAACCACTGCTGAATTCTGAAGCCAGTGTTGACAAAAACAACCCTATAGGTTTGTACAAGCAGTTTATTACAACCCATATTTATGTTTACTGTGAGGCCACGACCTGTCCTGGTGGTCATAATTATGAGGAGCAAAGGAGTCAGGTGATGTAGTATAAACAGTGACAGTCTAAGTCTAAGTCAGGAGGAGGTCAGGGCTGATGGACGGGTCAAACAAAAACAGGACTTTAACCCAGGAGGTTGCTGTTTGTGTGAAACCTACAGTCAACACTAAGTTATTCTACCTTTGTATGCAAGTTAAGATATGTATGTATGTATGTATGCGTATGCGTATGTGTGCATCATACATATTTTTTTAACCCAAACCATGATCTTTTCCTTAAGCTAACTAGGGATGCACGACATTGGATTTTTGGCCGATATCCAATACACTGATATATAACAACTTAATTTGCTGATAACTAATACTGATAGATATATCCACTTTTTCCCCACCTTATTTTAGTGATCATCAAGTCTCTTCTGTTGTGGAATTAACATCATATTATGCATGCATACTCTTCTCCTGATGGCCCACCAGCAGAACGAGACATGAAATACAATGCTTGTAAATGTCTGTAATATTTATTCATTGTGCAAATTAAAGAAAACCATGTTGGTTGATTCTAATAGTTCATTTTAAAGCCAATATCAGCCGATACCAATGACGAGCTGAATTTATTGTGTGTCCCTAAAAGTAATCAAGTAGTTTTGTTACCTTACCAAACTGCGACCATTAACAATCATATATGTCATTTTGGGATTCACTGGCATACTGCCTATGCTGACATTAGATATGAGGGCGTGTTGATCTTCTGCCATGAGTAGAGGCCCTAATTTAGAAACCACTCCAGTGAGGGTATTAGAGGGTAGAAACAAACTACCTATTTGGTCATACAGGTTGGAGGACTTGTTGGGACAGGAACAATTCCTCCGCAGGCCGTTCACTAATCAGAAGATCATCAGTTTGATTGCCGGCTCCTCCCAGCAACATGTCAAAGTATCCTTGGGTAAGATACTAATCCCGAGATGAATGTCTAAAAAACAAACTGAGTAGCAGGTGGCATCTTGTACAGTAGCCTTGGCCACAAGTGTGTTCTCACTTATTTCTGCAATAACAAATTAAATTAGATTAGAAATGAATTTGTTTTCATTCAAATAACTGTATCACAACTGTTGGGGGAAACATTGAGATCATTTTCAATTAAACTTTTACATGTTGTATTTTTGTTGCTAAAATGAATTTGGCTGAAATCTGACATTTCTAAGGGAAAGCACCAACTGTGAAGATGTGGTCTGACATGATACCAATGTTAAATAAAACGGTGCATTACTAGCATTTGTATTAACATGCCAAACATAACATTAGCATGAAGTTATTATGTTAAAACAATCCTCCTTTTTGGTTCAGAGTGCAATGTCTCCAAAAATATTGGAAGGCTTGCTTTAAAATGTTGTACAAACATTTAAGGTCCCCAGGTGATGTATCCTAATGAAATCGTCTATGGTCACAGATATTTTTGATTAATAGTGGTATGTATCCACAACTATTAGAGCGCTATGAATTCACTACAGACATTCAGGTCCCTCAGAGGGTGAATCGTTGCGACTTTGGTGATCCTTTGCTGTCATCAAGTCAAAATGTCAGTGTGACCAATAATTTGGTTTAGGTTTAGTTTGGATTTGTTTTGCTGTGTCCCACATCCTTATTATATCCTATTGTGCACAACCTATGCTATATATTTATCTCTAAAGAGGACTGGATGGAACTGAAACACAGCTTTCGTATTTAGTGCTAATTAGTAGGCTAAATGTTAAGGTGCTAACATGCTAAACTAAACTAAACAGCTGCATGTTGGTGCTGTCATTGCAAGTGTGTCAGTTTGATGTTAGCCTTTAGCTCAAAGCACCACTGTGCTGAAGGAAAACCACACTCACTGTGTGGTGGACATGTTTCCAGGTGTCTAATAGTCTACACCAGGTGTTTGAAGCCGCGTTTTAAAAGCTATAATAAAGTGAGCTGAATCACCATTTATTGGTATTAATCGTTAGAGGAATAACAAAATGGACATTTACTTTTATAGGGATTATTATTAGATTAGCTATTTCCCACATCTCGGTGTAGTGACTAAGAAGTCAGTCACTGCCTCTTGGGGCAGAAACAATCTCAGTAATGTACAGACACAAGGAGAGCAAAAGAAGATGGAGGTTACTGAGAAAGCAGGGTGGAGTATAAAAGGTCACAGGTAGCATGCACATTCCTCAAAGTGAGAGGTGAAGTATTTCTCATCAATTAGATGTAGTTCTTACAGGAAGAGTTGTGTGGCAGCAAGTGACATCATCCAGAGCCTTACATGAATTGATAAGACACACTGATAACATAACTCCATTTCCTGTATTCACCTTTGTAGCAGCATGCTTGCTTATTTTCTCTCGCTCTTGTGTTTGCCAGTTTAACGGTTGTAAATTACAAGTTATTTGGCAGCATCTGAGCCTCATTCCAATCAATCTGACAGATACATGTAGGCCTGCTGAGTGTTTGTATTCTGAGATTGAACTTGTCAGCACTTTCTTAAATGTAAATCCCTCTTACTCACGCCTCTGACAAGCACTGTCTAGAAAGGCATGCTGGGAGAAACAGTGGAAAATCCCCGAGTATGGGCAAAGCTGTGGTTGTCTAACATCACAGCCCTGCAAGGCTTGGTGCATAGTCAATATCTTTTATTCCGGATGCCAGAGTTGCATGGGTTTGCCTTTGGCTCCTACCAGTGAGAGTTATTTGTATGGGTGTGTATCTGATAACTCACATGTAGCTAAACAGAGAGAGGAACTTACCTGCAGATGCCAGGCAGCATATTGCAAGAAGTAACAAGGGAACAGGGAATCTTCTCGCCATTCTGTAGCTTCCAGTATGAGGATGGTGGGCGAACAGGCCTTCTCACAAAGGTTTCCCTCTCTATGAAGCAGTCTGCAGGAAGTCAGCTTCAAGCCCCAGCTGCAAAGTGAACAACCGTAGAGAAAGTCAACCAGAAGCAGGAGGTTGTGCTAAGCGTGGACAAACAGCAGGGAACTGGGCTCTGCTTAATACACCCTGTAGCAGTGATGAGATGAGACAAGAGAAGCAACAGTTTGGAGACCAGGGGATTAATCCAGGGAGGTTAATTGGGGGTCAGGCATGCTTCAAAGGACCGTGCCGCACACACCTTCCCATGCCCACGGTCAGGCAGTGTGTGTGAGGAGCGTGGGACAGCTGACTGGCTCGCTGGGTGTCAAACACTTTGGACCACGCCACAGGTTATTACTGTACTTAAATTGAGAGCGTCAGGAAACACTAAATGCTCCATTGGGGTCTTGAGTAAGCAGCTTAGTACCACCGCGCTAATCAACATGACCTCGCCTTAAGCTTTAACTTTAGAAATCTAAACTCAAACACTGACAAAAAGTGGCAAAAATGATGAGGACATGCTCCTTATGTAGATATAAACAGCTCATTCTAAGGTAACAAAAAGACAATGATTCCTATATTTTAATTTTAAACTAATGAAAGCATAGTTATGAATACTATATACCATTTCTGCCATTAGACGTCATTAAGTCCTACACGGTGGACCTTTAATTTTTTTGGTTTCACATTGCCATTGCATCAAGTCAGAGAGGTCTGAGGATCAGAGTAGGGAAGCAGAGGGTTTACACAACTTCAGGAAGCATTCTGACACATACAGCTGTAAAATTCAGGCCTATTATATCCAAAATAATGTAAGAACTTAAAATAATCTTGGCTTGTGTTTTCTTTAAATGGTGAAACAAGGTTCAAAATTAGATTATCAAAACATTAAATTGGTACAAAATTGGAGAGTCATTTCAAACGGTATGTTACAGAGCATGTTTTGCAGCCACAACCAAAACATTTTTTTAGAAAGATGTGGTCCACTGAAAATGTTAAATACACTACTTCTCACATCAGGTTCTCACGACAACACTGTAACTGTAACTCGAGTCGCATGTCAAAACCACGAGGTAAAGGCGTTGTGACGGGAATTGCACCCGTAGTACAGTGCCGCGTGGAGGAAAACAGATGTGCAGCTATCTGACTCGTGGTGAACCGTACAGCGTGCATGGGAAGTGATGCATAAAGTTCTAAGGTGCATCACTCTGCAGTGCAAGCAGCGTGCACAGGACAAAAGGGCCTTTGACTGTGCGGCAGCTGCAGGGGCTGCGAAGTCATTTTGGAAGATCATGACAAATATTACACTTTCAGCTAGTCAAGGAGAGCCAGTGCCCTCCGTTTGATTTATGCCTCTCTTTGACCTTCATCTCCTCGCTGACTGAACCAAGGTAAACTGTGTTGCAATACCTTCTGTGAGGCAGAGACCAAATCAAAGGAAAGAGGCATTTAGGAAGACTGAAAGAAAGCAGTATCTTCCTCTGTTGGTTAAGACCGGGTTTGAAGATTTAAAGACCTAATGTGAAATGTGTTCTTATTAAAAGATTACACAGGATTTAAAATGTTCATGTTAAGTATGGGGCAACAAAGCTTCCCTTTTTCTTACTTGTTTGGGGTTGAGTGTACAGGTTTTACTCCACGCCACGGTGCTGCAGGTTTTGTTGCAGCAACAACTTAAATCACCTCATGTGACTTCTCTTCAACCCTGACCGTCTAAGCCGAGCAACTATTTCACCCAAAGACGATCTGGAAAGTACATCAGCAACACGCAGACCCCAGACTGAATGCACGGCGCGTTACTGAAACCAAGCCACATACTTGTGGTCACTTCAGTGTTAAAGGCCTGGCTTATATCTGTGTCATCACGTACGCATACACTGCAGTTTAGTGTTGTCAGGTCCAGAGGGCATATACTATGTTCTTGTAATCACAGAGGCATGAGTGAGGAGAGTAGCGACACAAAAGGCTGAGGTGTGTGTGTGTGTGTGTGTGTGTGTATGTGTGTGTTACACACTGCATCTTGTGGCTCGTGAGTAAGATGTTAAGACTTGCTAATCTGACACCAGTTTGTGTCATGTACATGTTCATGTGGTCCTATGATCTGGTTAAAGCACCTCAAATAAGCTCTTTTCTTACAGGCTCAAGACTGACAAACCACCAAACCTCCCACTCCGGTTCCATCGCTAAAGCAACACTCTGACTGACTGACTGAGTCTTTATCACAGCCTCGTTTCTAACAGAGCAAGAGACCCTGTGCCCACACACCTCAGTGCCCTGAAACAACATGTGGTTTGACATGCTGGGCTGAATTTACACCCAAACACCTGTGCATGACGTCCATCTTTGCCAAATGAGTCACCATGCAGATAGTCCTTAACACATGCTGTTACTATGATCAACTTGAAGTTGTAAGTCAGGTGTGCAGTAGTCATAATACTTGTGTGTGTGACTTTTAAGTATAAGTAGATATCCAGTGTCTTAAAGTAGAGCTGGAACGATGAGTTGAATGACTTTCATAATCATTTAATCATTGCATTCATTTAGTTTTTTTTTTTTTTGGGGGGGGGGGGGGGGGGGGGGGGGGGTTTGGCAAAAATGAGTTTAAGTTTAAGAACTGCGCTGTCACTTTAAAGTCACTTGTGCTCAGTCTCAAATCCACCTAGAGCTGTGACACATGCACAAACATTAAACACACATCTTACTCCCTTTTCTACCGTCATGCATATTTATCCTTGCTATCCATACATATACATATATATATTTGATATTCTTATATTTTATTCCTCTGATGTAGCTTGGTACAACACACTGAATCTCATTGTATATGTACAAAGACAACAAAGGTATTTGTATGTCTGGATTAAGGACAACATAAGCAATATGTAAACATCACCTTGGGAGTTTTTTCCCAATTGTTTTCTGACATTTCAGACTCAAGGATTCACCGATTTATCAGAGAATCATTCGATTAATGAATAAAGACTTGGCATTCTGATTTATATGTAGCTTGCAGCTTCATTTTGTAGGGGTGGGAATCACCAGAGGCCCCATGATACAATATTATCACCATGCATCAGTCACAATACCATATTAGATTGTCATTTTAAATGGGTTGCGATATGCTACAACTTTTTAGAAGGAAAACTTTGTCAACATCTGCATTATCTTACATGACAAAGTTTTTATCTGTGCATCTCACTTCAGTTGTTTTTATTGCAGCAAAATGCATCTAGTGGACTGAAAAAGCAGTTGCATATGTTATTCTAGTAGGCTACCACAAGTTTGATTTGTATTTGTAATATTAATAATTCATTTAATAAAGTTAAGATCATGCCACACAAATATATCGCCATGCTTTATGTATGTTTCCCCCACTCCTACTGTTTTGTAGCTTTCAAATGTTTCCTCCTGAATATCCCTGGACTGGCTTCTCAGATTAGATTTTTTAAAAATCAGTAAACATGCATCAACAACCTCAAGTCAGTGCCAATTCCTCAGTGTAACGCATCAGACAATTAACATTATTAAGAGGTGCTAATTAATTAAATTCATCCACACTCTGCAGTTCCTCCAGGGTGCAAAACAAACAGCAACATTACCCTCTGCCACAGCAACACTGCCTTTAAACACAGAGCAATTCATCTCATCTTTAATCGCAGGCAGTTTCCACTGTCATGTGCGAATAAGCGAGTGTCTTTGGACTAGTGCAGCTTTAATCTAAAATACATTACACGCACGGTTCCGCTGTCACAGTCACGTTTCATCACACAGGACTGAGAGAGCGTGCTGTTCTCTGTCTGAGGGCAACACCTCTGTAACACACTCTGTTCACCTGTGCTCCCTCTTTATTTCCTGTTTTCAACTAAAACATGACCCAAACTGTAGTAAAGTGAACATGAACATGCTAACTACTAACTTAGCTTGAAGTTAGCTTGAAGACGGAAAGCAAGAAGCAGCGCAGAAGTGAGGAGACAGATGTTCAGCTGGATTTATGGGCGGTTAAGTCAACACGGAGAGCTGGAAGAGATTGTTCTAACATTATTAACAGACATTGTGTTCACTGACAGTCTTCAGATAGACCACAGTTTTAAAGAAACAAGCTAAGCTGTCACTACAGATAGCGTTAGCTCCTTAAAACGTACCATGCAGAGTCTCCAGAAAGTGCCCAAGTAAACTTTGAAGTAGAAGTCGCTCCGGTGGGTGAGGATATGAAAGTTGTTCTTCTCTTCTCTGGATGTTCACACCATCCCGTTGTTTGGAGGAAACTGCGGTCACGGAGGAAGCTGACGTTATATGTTGCCACAGTGTAGATAAACAGCCCCTCTCGCTCACAGTTTTAAACACTTTACTATCTATCTGCCTTTTTACTCGGGGCTTCATCTGGGGGCGGGGCTTAGAGGGAGGAGGCTGAGCTGCTGCTGCAGAGCTTCCCAAAGCTGGGTGCACGGTCTCCTCAGGAGCCCCTGCAGGACTGTCAGGAGGTCCTCCAGCCTCTTCTTCTTACCTATCAACAGTGTTGGGCAAGTTACTCTCAATATCACTAGTTACCTTCATTTGAATGTAATGAGTCTCTTCACAATATCCTCCCAAGACTAGGGTTGCCACCTTGGATATGTGAAAAAAAAGGACACTCGACCAAATGTTTGAGGCGGAGGGCTCGGCCATTATTGCCAGTTCAGACTGACCAATGAACATGATATTCGGATATAGGAGACCAGATTTGCCATCATTCCATGTCCTTCTATGTGCCTGTATTTTATATTAATTTTTATATCAATGAAAAAAACAAATCTGTGTTACTAAATTCTTACATTTTTACATGTATCTCACCATAGCAAGTTGGAAGTTGACATATTCTGCCATATATGAAGAGGGAGACTCTCTGGAATCTGGCAATATAAGAACCATGATGCTGGGACATTCTGTCACTTCACAGCTGTCCAAAAGATGTGGTTTGTGCCAGGCAGACATGATTGACAGTATTTTTTCATTATTGCAAGAAATTCCATTGACTCATTCACAAGTCAAAAATGTGTTTTATCTGAAAGAAACATGCAATATTTACATCTAAGATCATAGAAAAATAGTCAACCAAGTGCAATGATGTCCTCCAAGATAATATTTGCCACTGTGATTGCAGTAAAAAAAAAATTGGGGCATTGGGGGGGGGCACGTGTCCCCCTCAATGTATATGGTGACTACGGCCCTGTCAGCATGCATAATTAGGCTGCAGCTGTCTGGGTGCGCAAAGGTGAAGTGGATGATCTTGTCATACAAAGTTTGATGGAGTGTCAACTGGACAATATGGAGATATTTGCATCTTGAAAGCCGGACTACAAATGTGGATAGACAGGGAGAAACACACGCAAGCCTAATACGTGGTAAGATACGATATTTCTCACTATATGAAGTGACTGATAACAAGATCTGTATTATGGGTTGTAAAGAAATTCGTCAGGATTTTATTTTGTAGACAATTTATCTGTATTTATAGTTTGATGGGATGACAGCATAATGATGTGTGTGGTATCATTGGAAAGTTCTGCTCCTGTGCTTTCATGTTATATGTTTGGTATTTCTGTGCTATTCTGCATTCTTGAGTAATCCATCCATGAGTAATGTGTGTGCAAAGCTGTATGAAAGCTCTGTTATACATCATTTTAGTGTAACTTTATCATTTTTTTTCGCTGTGAAAACATTCGGAAAGCTACAATTCCACTGTTTCACGTGATATGTGTGGCTTCTACCACCGTGAACTCGTACCAGATCGATATACTCCCAGTTACGCTCTCTGACATCACACAGCCCTCTAAACAACAATGGCAGCCCCCATGGAGTATTAAAGTAAGGTATTGCTCTAACGTTAACGTTAAATCTACTAATGTTAACGCATTATTGGCAACTGCTCTATCCAGTGCAAGAATAAATCAATACAAAATATGCTTCCAAACACACAGATAACGTAAAATATAAAGTATAATAGCATCTGTGACCTCTTGCGCCCTTTCTCCTCCGTTTCGCTCAAATGAGCAAGGAACAGGCACCTTTGGCGATAGAAGTGATCGTAAACAAACATAAACCCTGCACGGTCTGCCATGTTTGTTTGACAGTTTGGCGTGACTTTCCTGGAACAGAGTCGTGGGTCGTGACTTGAAGTGGTGACTTACGGGCTCAGACACTTGCCTGGAATACAGCGTTATACTTCATTCTACTTAACTTAGACCTGTTGTCCTCGTTTGTGGACACATTTTTGTGCCATCTAGTGGTTGTTATGGCACAATACACTTATACATGTAAAAAGAACATGGTAGCTAGCTCTGCTAATTCAGTCTGCAGCCGATCCCAACACAGAAGTGAACAAGGTCCAAAACTTAGATGCCACAAATACAAAATGCTAATGTTTTTAGCACAAGCCTATGGCATTTTACATTGAATAAATTAGCCTAGTGGCTAGCGGACTTATCTTCTACTCTACATGAGGCGAGGGACAACAGCAACATTTAACAAAGGTAACGTTACAAAATTCAGCTCCATTCCAACTCACAAGGTTCACTGACAAAACAACAGTACTAAACACATTTTTCAAACAAATACAATATGCTAATATTTTTAGCACAAGCCTATGGCATTTTACATTGTATAGATTAGCCTAGCGACGAGCGGCGATTTCCTCTACTCATGTGAAGCCAGGATAAATCACACACAAGACTTAAAATGCTTTTTTGTAGAGGCTTTATTATCTTCACACTTTGTCGTTTTTTATCTGTGAAATTTAAGTAAATGAAAGTTTTGTTTCCACTGAGGGAAATGGCTTCAGCTTACAAAAATAGGCAGGAGGTCTGTGTCAACGCGACCTGTAGTTACATTTCTGGGAAGGTGCACGTCAGGCTGTGGTGTAGACTACGGCATGGATTCGACCTCAGAAGAATGAATAGGCATTATGAATGGATGAGGGTCATATTGTTTCACTGCGGACAATCCAAGCGCAGAGCTCCAGTTCATTACAGCTAAGTTCAAATCCAGTGCTGCACAGGTCTGACCCATTCATACATTCACATACAGTGGTTACCACTTTGTATTAAAATGGAAACTATGATAAAGAACGAATAAATAGCCTCGATATTTTTAAATAAATGAATATCCTTGGAGGGCGGCACGGTGGTGTGGTGGTTAGCACTGTCGCCTCACAGCAAGAGGGTTGCCGGTTCGATCCCGGGCGTGGGAGCCCTTCTGTGCGGAGTTTGCATGTTCTCCCCGTGTCAGCGTGGGTTCTCTCCGGGCACTCCGGCTTCCTCCCACAGTCCAAAGACATGCAGATTCCGTAGGTGTGAATGTGAGCGTGAATGGTTGTTTGTCTCTATGTGTCAGCCCTGCGATAGTCTGGTGACCTGTCCAGGGTGTACCCTGCCTCTCGCCCGATGTCAGCTGGGATAGGCTCCAGCCCCCCCCGCGACCCTCAAGAGGATGAAGCGGTTAGAAGATGAATGAATGAATGAATGAATATCCTTGGACACAGGCTGAGGATTAAAGTCTAATAATCATGAGATATGGATCAATATTTGTGGGCCTGTGATATGAAACACAATAAACAAATGTTGAGGTTAGCAAAATAAACGGATTAGATGTACCAATTACCAGGACAAGGAATACTTTTGTAACGCGTTACCCCCAACATTGCCTATCAAATATATTTTAGTCCAAAGTTAAGAATGCATGACTGTGTGCTGAAATGTCTTCACACTCAGTCTCCATTTACCTTGCAGACAGATGTGCAACTCAATACCAAACTTCCTATATGTTATTGTATATAGGTCACTCTATTCACATGAGGGCCCATAGAGTGATCTCTATCTATATGAGGGCTCTAGATGCCAGATTATGGGGTGTCTAGCTAGGCAAGAGTCTTGTTACCAATCATTGCACACTTATTTTTAAGCCTCAGCTGAGGCAGGCAATGCAAGGCAGCTTTATTTGTACAGCACATTTCATACAACCTAAATTGAAGTGCCATAAAAAACTAACTGGATTTAAGTGACCATCAGTATATGACGTTATTAGAATTAGTGTCACTTTCAGCAGATTCAACATTAAAATGCTGCTTACAAACTAATGCATCAGTAATAATGTTCCAGTCACAATAATTTTGACAGTAATTAGATTGTTAAATGAGCCATTTGGAATAATGACTACTTTAACCTTTTGACACTTGAGTGCATTTTGTTGATACTTACACTTAAATAAGTTTTGGACTGCAGAACTTTAACATACAGGGGCGGGATTTTACATTGTGGTGTTATCTAAAGTGCCTGTTATTTAAAGGACCTCCGATCTTGTCGGGTCACAACAAGGAAGATTGTATCAAACATTTGTTTTTGTTTGTTTATTTATGTAAGATTTTCTTACCTTGTTATTCTTTCTTAGGGGTTATGGGAGAGAACATATTCTAACATACAATAGTGAAAGTGATGAAGTCACCAAACCATCACAGGGGCCAAAACAGAAAACATATTCCTAGACAGTATAGAGATGCTAATCTGCCCGATGACATATTTTTGACATATTTTGTTTTCATGGGCAGTGGCACCACCAAGAAGTGGTGGGGGGGGGGCTATGGCCACCCTGATACGATCACTGGCTGCTGACAGGCCCCCCGTTGTGCAGTGTTTTTCAGCTCGAGTTTTCTCAGTAAATGTTTTGTTTCTTACAGTCAAGTACTCCTTCAAATTAAAGCTCTATATCTGTCCTTTAAAGGAAAAGGAGAGGTAGCATATTTAAAGAACAATAAATCACCTAACACGTGTAAAGCCCAGTTCAGACCAATGATTAGCAACAAGATGAAACTGTTTTAGAACGTTGCAGAGAAAAGTTGCAGCGGTGCGTACTGGCCGGTCTGAGCTCATCTCAAGTTGGCCGATGGTGTCACCTGCAACTCAGCTGGTCAAATTGCCAGCAGCTGGTTTTTAAAGCAGGTCATCTGTTTCAGCAGCCAATCAGCTTGTAGTGTAGTATGCTGGTCAAGTCAAAAATTACCGCAGACAGCGTGTTGGCTTGCTGCAGGTGCTCCGTCCCCGCTGAGCCCTCTGGTTTAGTTTCATCACTACAAATGCAACTGTAGCCAGTATCTCACTATCATTATCCTCATTCATATTTTAAGAAGCTACAAATTACATTCAGCCACAAAATAAGTCTAATAAAACTGGAAATGAAAAGGAAAGTACAGAGAGTTGTTGCATAGAGATGATACATCATCTCATCTAGTTGCATTGGTGTGAACCAGCAGTTTTTGAGAACATTGCAGAACGGCGCATCACAAGTAGTTGCTTGTTTCAACTCATCTCGTTGCAAATCTTTGGTCTGAACTGGGCAG